AGAAGGTTCGGTGTGCTGTGGGGCGAGTGGGAATAGCCTCATCAGGGGTCTTGGTATTGGCCGAGAGTCGCCGAGGCTCGCACCGGGCCCAGCCCGTTACAAGGAAATCAGTGGTGACGGTCCCAATGGAGTATTACACCTAGACAATGCTAATACTAACAACAAAGTGGGAGGCGGTCTAGCCATTTCGGAGCACGATACGGGTGTCGAAGCGACATAGAGGTCGAGCTGATTCTTGTGCCGTCAGCAAACATCACTACAGTACATGTTTCGACTTCTAGACCGGGTAATGCTGGTGGTATCAGCTTACATTGAGGGCGGCAATAACGAGACACTAGAAGCTGCGATGAGAGGGCTCGACCGGCTAAGCAGGAGGTTCCAGAACGGGACAGGAACTAGAATAGACGTCATTGTAGATGGTGATCTCAACCGCTACGACCAGCTCTAGGGAGGAGACAATGTCTTACTACTTAAGACAAGACGAAGGATACTACATCGTCAACCTCGTAGATGAACGCTCACTTTACAGCCTCCTCCTCAGAGGTACGAAGATAAAACAGTCAAGAGACTTAGACAATCGACCTAGTACCGACTTCTACAGAGTTAGCAGACCAGCTACTCAGGTGTAGGATTTACCTCTGTGACCACAGATCCGATCACAGAGCGATTGAGACGTATTCAACATCGCAGTGGAAGACCGCCCAACGGAGACATGACTCTTCTTCAAGAATGCACCCTAGACAGAGATTAGAACCAGAATGGCAGCAAATTGCGTATATGTCCCCTAGAGCGGCAATGTCCAGCAGCAAGCAGACCGGCTTATAACATTGGAACGGAGGCTGGCTACAGTCTAACACCTAAAGCTAAGCCGTCATGTACGCCAAGCGGTAGTAGGCGTCAGAATATACGCGGCTCCGCTAGACTTACACATTCTAGAGAAACCAGGCGAGATCTCGACGTAGGATAGGGCAAACGTCATTGGAGCTCGAATAACGAGCGAAGACTGCTGCCAAGGAGTACCACGATGCCATCCGTAGGCAGAAAAGCTCGCATTGAAGCGACTTTCTGGCTGACGACCGGAATATCTGGCAAGTAGCAAAGTACCTGCAAACTAGCAGCCGCACAATGAGTGACAAAGTGTCCTCGCTTGTCCGACCAAACGCATTACCCTTAAGAGCTCCTCTATCGTACACGATCAGGTAGTCGGCGAGACCATCCCCATGAGGCTCCTGTTAAGATTCAGAGAGTGATGACCACGTGAGTTACCTGCACTGCCGACCTTGGCCGCAGGATCATGGCCGAATCCATCGCTCGCCCAAAATCATGGGCGGGTCACCGCAAGTTAGTTACAGGTTACTCCCGAGTCGAGACGCTCCATACACAACTTATCAGCGAAAAGAGATAGTTACAGCGAAAAGAAACAAAATGCCGCAGGTCGCTACGGCAAAGTTCTTTGTTTGAAGGAAGAGAGACTTGCGATTCACGAAGCTCTTTGTGCTGGTACATCCACAAATGACTGAAAAGTCTTCCCCCTGGCAGTTTCAACGCCCACGATAAGAGCTCTCATTGGCATGGGTGCCCCAGGGTCGAAAATCTCATCATTCGCAGACGCATCCGTCGGGATGAATAGGACATTCCAACCGGCGAATTTCTCTTCCAACACGGTCGAGATGAAGCTTTTCAGGCCCCAGTAGGGACAGAGGCCGTATGTTTGGTTTCCGGCGCCTTCGAGCCGTGGGATGATTTGTCTGAGCCACTCAAGCACACCGAGACGGGGACGACGTAAAACGACGCCATAGTGAAGAATTCAAGGGATGCCGAGGAAGCATCGTGCTCTTACAAGGAGGCGTTTAGGTCGAGACCGGTTATTGCTTGGAGAATCAATATGACCCATTGATCTTTCTGGTCCGTTCCTGGCGGAGAGCGCCCCAGGAGAAAGTCCAAGCGTTCTGCAGAAACAAATTCCTGGGCGGCGGCGTAACGAAGAAAGGCCACCGCTGTTTGGTTACTCCGGAAGATTTCAGGGCTGGCCACAAGAATGTGAGTTTCGCGGCAGGAGTGCTGGGTTATTGTACGACGCTCATCGACGGACTGTGACTCGTGCCACCAATCAAGTTTTCTCGCAACGCTTCGAGCTCGGACATGACCGTCAGATTGGATGACTCAGGGCCGTTACCCCCTCCGGTGGTCCCGTTGTGCGAACGAGTCGAGATTCTCCAGGAGTTTGGCGTATTCCGGGCGAGTCCGGTCAGGCCCGAGGAGTCGGGACAGAAGCAATTGCGTGCCCCGCCGCCGAGACTCGCAGAGGAGAGGTACCAGGACTCCCGTCCGATCCAACGGCGAGCAAAGGATGTCCCAGAGGTCTTGACGGGCTCCTGGGGGAAACGGGGAGGCAAGAGAAATCCACGGCGCGCACTGGAACGAGAACCAGCACTTTAGCGGAACCCAAGCGCGCAAGAGTCGACGAGCCGTCTCCCAGCCGCGCAAGTGATCTAGATGCTCGGATATGAGTTTCTCGACTCGCTTGCAATGCGTGATTCCGCCGAGAAAGGTGCCGTGCTTCATCTCATACATCTGAAGCAGTACCAGAATGGTAAGGAAGACAACCACGTCGTGTAGACTGCTCGTGAAAGGGCACAGTGAGCCGGACGTCTGCGCGGACAAGGCTATAAGAGCACTGCTATAGAAAAGCCATTGCTGCTTTGGGCGGTGCCTCAGCGACGGGACTCTCGCCATGGGAAGGCAGAACCGCCGAGGAGTGTGCCAAAACGGCGTATTTGAGGATTGTGTGGGAGTACCCGATAGTCTCCCAGATCGTCCCAGATATGGCGGGAAGTTGAGATAGGGAAGTTGTCATTGACCCAGACGTCGCCCGGATCTGCCACGGTTGACGCGGCCGTGGTTGCGCGATGGTGCAGGGCTTCCGACGAGGCTGACTTTGTGGTTTGGAGAGGCATCATCCGCTGTTGATGGTCGCCCGCGTTGCGAATCTGGATCGGCCGAAGTCTCGAGGTGTGTTCCACGCCGGCGAAGCCGCTGCCGCTTGGTGGGAACAGCGGCATTGACGAACTGTAACAATGGGGTGTATCCAGGGCAGGAGAAGCCGAGCCGAATGCAGTTATTGCAATGGGGTTGGCTTCGTCACATTATTCGTCGACATTATCGCGCGTCCGTCTCCAAGCGCAGACGCACACACGTACCAGGCGACACCGCAAACCTTTGTATGTCTCTGCAGACATGTCGTACAGCCTGTACGAGAGCGGATGATGCGATGCTTCGGCTTCGTTGCTGCGCCGGATAACCATCCCACGCTAGCGTGCAATGAATTTGTCGTGTGCAAGGGTGGTGGGCTGAAGTCCGAGACGGGAAGTAGAAACCGCTCTCTTTCACTGTTGAAAAGGGTGATGAAATGTCCAAGTTGCAGGGTCTGTGTAGCAATCTGGATCTTGGTTTTGAACAGAAGAATCTAACTTGATTTGGCTAAGTTGCCGCGTTAATGGATACCCTTCCGAGCTTAGCGTCTAAGCCACGTTCTTTTAGAATCTGGGATCAATAACAATCAATCCTGGTTCGTTTGTTAGCATAGCCAGTGGATATCTCAGGTCTGAAACGTATGGCGCGTTTTTGGAAAACCCCGCAAAAAACCGCCCAGCCCTTTGATATCACTTTCAGAGAGGTAATTTTGGCAGTCCTCCCGTATTGCCCGGCAATCACGCAGTAGATTTCTTTTAAAAAGCCATTAGCTGATGCAGCTCGTCGAGCTAAATAGATTGATATCCTTTGGAAATGATGCATTTCTGTGGTTGTCGAGATGCACGAGCTTCAATTCCGGGAAGGCATTTCGCTCCCCTGGAACCGGCCGTCTGGCACCCTAAAAATTGGCGCCCAATCCACTAATCATTTAGGGCTCGACGCACTAATTTCAGGACTTCAGATCTCAACGACAGTTGTCAATCTCAGGGCTACAGTACATACATTGGACGCTATGTGACACTTGCACCCTTTCCACCCCTCCCTTCCGCCCCCCCCCCCCCAAAAAAAAAGAAAAACCAAAAGAACGAAAAGAAGAGGAACAGCCAGGCAACCCCCTTTTCACGCTTCCGGCGGCCATCTACGCTCCAGATCTCCGTTCTTGATAGCCTTCGTGACCTTGTCAAGAGACCACTTGGGGCACAGCTCCTCCATTTGCGCGATAACACGCGACTGTTCGGCGGCGCTTTCTGCGCCGCCCCGCTCGCGCGACTTGCCCAGGATGAAGTCGACGATTGCCTTTCGACCGCAGAAGACGGACTTCTGCGACTTAGGGCGCCAAGCAGCACCATAGTTAGCCTCGAGTGACTCGATTGAAGGCATGCCAGCCCTTCCGTATCTCCACAGGAGCCACAGATCCGGAATAGAGCGAATATCTAAAGGGACCTCAAACCTAGGCACGTTCGACGCAACCGCCGCCGTCGCCGGCGGCGACGGCGGCGGTAGAGACGCTGTGGTAAGCTGGGGAACGCCCCCCTGCTCTTCGTCTCCAGTAGATAGTTGGGGGGAAGGGGCCCCGCGGCCCGGCGCCCTCGGTCGCCCGCGCTTCGGCATCTCGAGCCGTTGTACGACAGTGCTGCGTCCCGGACTGATCGTGACAGTGTACGACGCTTTAGAGAGCTCGTCCATCCTCTTCTCCTGTCACGGCGATTGCGCCGTGCCTGCCAGGACCCATGGGTGGAACCCGGCATGTGGAAAGCACGGGCCCCTGTGGGTTGAAGATTCTGCACCT